GGTTGCCAATGCCTACATATCAGGGTTGTTCCAAAGTAGGTGAAATAAAGCAGATACAAATCCTTATCCCAGAGGCTGGCCCACTTAATGGCAGCTTTGACTGTCTGGCTTGATCTAACTTTCCCATCTGCCTTCATATGACCAGCACCTCTTCTGTCTTACCCTTCTGCAGACTTGCCCATCATGAGTAGCACTAGTTGGAATGCTCAGGAGTTTATATATAAATCCCTTAGATTTTCTTGGAGACCTCTGTGAACACATAGATCAAAAATAAAAGGGTTGGGAAGGTGGCTCAATGGTAGAGTGCTTGTGCTTACCTAGCATGCATGAGGCCCTGGGTTTGATTCCTCAGGACCACATAACTATAAAACAGAACAAAGTATTATAGGTGTAGAAAAGTCCTGCACAATAAATGATTAATAAGTAAATGATAAATACATATAGAATAAATGTGCTCTGTGTGCAGTGACTTGGGATTGTCACTCCTTCAGTCTTGGCATGTGTCCCCCCACAATGATGAGGGGTACAAAGCTATCTTTGGTCTGGGGGGGCAGGGTCAGAGGAACTAGGAAATGGTATTCCAGCCATAGATGAGACCTTGCAACCCACTGGAGCCAGAGCGGGCTCTGGTTCCTACCTCAAAGCTGTGAGTGGAACTTCTTTTTTTTTTAATTTAATTTTATTTTATTTGTGAACATACTGTACAGAGGGGTTACAATTACATGGGCAGGATAATGCGTACATTTCTTACCAAGCATTGCAGCCTCCTCCTTTGGTTTACCCTTCACATCCCTTCCCAGCCTCCCCCCTCCCCCCCGAGTGGAACTTCTTGGGACTGACTTGTTGGGTATCATCTGGTTGGGTAGCTGGCACAGGTGTCTGCAATCACTGGGGTTGCCCCGCAGAGGATGGGGGCTTGGCCCTAGGCCACCTGCTGCCTGTTTCCTACACAGCCCACCTACCCCTGAACATCGCAGTGGAGTGATCCTCCCAGACTTCATTCCTGGCTTGGATAAAGAGCTGCACAGTCTTTATCTGTTGGCCAGAGGCACAAAGCTTGCAAAGGAAGTTTGCAAAGGGCTTAGACAACAGAGTCAAAGTCCGGGAACATCAGCAGATTGCACATGGAAAGAACAACAGAGCCCTTTCTGACCTCTCCGCTCAGAAGCTACTAAGAAGGTAAAATCCACATTGGTGAGCAGGTGGGCCTAGGGCCCTCGCTGTGCCCTCTGGGCAGGAAGGAATGATTTGGCCAGAGATCTTCCAGGAGCAAATCCACGGTATCAGCATTTTAAAGAAGATTCATCTGACGCTTCCCCTTGTAGGAATTTAATTTAGAGATTTCCTTGCACAAGATACATGTTTAAGGAATTTTTTTCAACTTGAAGTATTTTAGGAAAAACTAGAAAGAGTCCAAATGGCGTTTTATATAGTAAAGGCGAACTATGGTAGAACAGGTTCCAGGAACCTCATGGTAGAATGGGTTCCTGATGGCAATGAGTTACATGTGTGTGTTCGCTATGCAAACAGACAAAACAGACGACCCCAAGTTCCTAGTGGGCAGAGGAGAGGGTGCGTTGGCGGCAGCTTCTCCATGTCCATACCGTGATACCTCCATGCTGAAGGGCAGCCTGTCCAGCCACCTGTCCCTCTGTCTGTGTGGATCTTACTCTAGCCTGCCACCCTTTCAGCTTTGATTCATTGTGTGTGTGTGTGAGAGAGAGAGAGAGAATACATTAAATACTCTCAGATACTTTCATAAGCAGCTATCAAATGCAACTTCTCCCCATCAAACATTACAAACGGAACTGACAGGACAGGCAGAGTCCAGACGGGAATAATGACACGTAGAAGTATTGCGAATGTAGATGGACGCTAACAGGTGCAGTGAAGGGAAAAGAACGGATTGTCCCAGAATTACCACTTGTGAATGGGTGTTGTTTTGTGCGTGGAGACAGGATCTCATGATGCTGCCCAGGCCATCCTCCAGGCCACACATCCTCCCATCTCCGCCTCGCAAGTGCTGAGGTTATAGAGGTGCCATTTCTGGCTACTTTATTAAATATTTATGGGAAAAATAGCCCTTATGATATAAGCTGAAATCAGCTTCTAGTGAATGAAATGATTGCTGAGAATGACACCATGATAAACATATTTGGAGGCAATATACGAATGCTCCGTAGCTCCAGGAAGACACAGTTTTGTGTTTTGTGTTTTTTCTTGGTGAACACAAGGCTTCACGTGTACTAGGCATTCCCCAGCCCTTTTTCCTCTCGTTATTTTTCCGGTGGAGTTTCATAACTTTTGTCAAGGGCTCACCTTGGACTTTGATTCTCCTCCCTCTGCCTCCTACACAGCTGGGCTTACAGAAATGTGCCACCATCTCTGATGTGTTCTTTTGAGACAGGGTCTAATGCTGGCATTCCCTATGTTGGCCTCAATTCCCAATCTCAATGGCTGTCAAGTAACTGGGGTTACAGATGGGATCTAGTACTGGTATTTGGACTCAAGGCGTTGAACTGCGCTACCATTTGAGCCATGCTCCTACGCTCTCTGTTTTCAGGTTGCTTTTAGTGAGCTTTTCCCAAACTGGCTTGAACCTCAATCCTCCTCCCTGTACCTCCCAAGTAGCTAGGATTACAGGCATGTGCTACCAGGCCAGGCCTATACGTGGCTCTTGAGTAGCTGATTATGTCTGCCACATATTTCATGTCGTTCCAGTCACATTTGATCTGAGCCCACAGGCTTCTGTGACACTCATTTCTCCAATGAGAAAACCAACACTCAAAATGGTCATACCTATTTTTTGTGACTTGGGTCTGGCCCCTTTGCCACCTGGATGAACTCCTTGTACCCCCTCCACAGCCATCTGTATTTGGTGTGCCTTTTACCTCCAGGGTGGGCGTGTCACCCCTGGGTCTGCCGCTGAACTCGCTGAACTCTTCTGCTGTCCTGAGCCTGTGTGAGCTCCGCTGAGCAACCTTGCATCTTCCGCCACAGGCCCCAGCCTGGCCTGTAACACACCCAGAGCTGTGCCCACAGCTGTTGGCCGAGACAAGCAAGGTGGCTACCCAGCTCCCCAGGGAAGCACTTGGAACCCTGGATCTCTGAAACATCTCATGAAAGAGCAGAGGCAAACCGGCAGGTCCCTAGAGGAATCACCCCACTAGACACCAGGGAAATGTCAGTGCTGGGGGTGGTGGGAGGAAGGCCACTGGACCTCAGTTGACCCCTGTGGGCTCTGGATGTCTCTTACCTGACCACAGGCCCCAGCGGCTAGCGCCCCCCACTGGCCAAGCGAAGCCAGGTCCATGGGGAAGGAAGAAGAAAGGTCTTTTGCAATGTGGTTTCTGTTACCCGAGGCTTCAGCCATGGAAGGGGCTCCCTGAGTCAGGCAGGAAGCAGAAAATATCAGATTTAGATCCCACATTCCATGCATTGTGTACAATTATGCACCGGAGCCACACAGGGGCACGTGGGACCCACAGAGGCAGAAAATGGGATTGCTATCGGGATGGGGGTCACTTTCACGGGAAGCCGATTGTCCTCTTGACAGGCACCAGGTGTGCGAGGCCTCTGGGGTGCACACTTGGCAACCCCAGACGAGGGCGAGGCCAGCGTGCTACCAGGGCCAGTGCTGGCAGGGAGCCCCCTTGGTCATCTCCATCTCTGTCTCCCTAGGCCCTCCCAGCTTCTCTCCACTGGTTGCCAGAGGGACTTGCCCTCACCCCTTGTTTCCACAGCCTCCTGTCCACCCACAAGGCCCACCTGAGAGGCTCTGGCCACGGAGCCAATGTCGTTCACATTCCAGGATCTCAACCCCCCTTCTCCTCCTCCTACCAAAACTGTGCCCCTCCTCCCAGGGTCCCCACAGAGAAGGCCCCGGCCCGGCCACTCCAAGGAGCCAAATGATGGTGGCATCTAACCCCAGTGGCCTGTGTTCATTTCATTCTCCCTCTCCTCGGCCTCTCATTCCTGTTATATCTCTGCTTCACCTGGTCAGCCACAATTCCACTGGCCAGGCCACTCCTATGTCCACAGCTCTCCTGCTGGCTCTCATTGGCCACGGGGCCCGCATGAAGCCCTCATCTTGGAGCCCGGGCACTCCATCCACACTCTGCCCCTCTCCCTAGGACTGTTATGTTCTTGCTTGTGTCTGGGGCTTTGCACTCGACCCTGACTGCTCTGGTTTCCCCGGTCTTGTTCATCAAAACCTTGCTTCTTTCCAAAGCCTGATCTAACCCCACCCCACTCTCCAGTACTCGGCAAAGCATGATCGCTCCTCTGGCCTACTGACAGATCAGAGGCAGGGCCAACAAGGCATATGACCAGAGCATTGTTCTAAAGGGAGACACCTGGCCGGGCACTGGTGGCTCACACCTGTAAGCCTAGCTATTCAGGAGGCCGAGATAGGAGGATCATGGTTCGAAGCCAGTCCGGGCAGAAAAATCTGTGACACTCTTATCTCCAATAAACCATGAGAAAGAGCTGCAAGCGGTAGAGCGCTCGCCCTGAGCGCAGAGGCTCGGGGACGGCGCCCGGGCCCTGAGTTCAAACCCCAGGACTGAGTCGCTGGTGATGGCCGTGGTGCCCGGCAAGCGCGTGGCCAGCGCATCTCAGCCTGGATTCCAGGACGGCCTGGCCTCTGCAGCGCCTCGTCCTGCTGGATCCTGGCGCCGGCCCGCGGACGTCGGCTTGTCCCTCCCCGGTCCTGGGCAGCTGACGCCACGGTCTGGCTGTGCCGCAGTCCCGCGGACGAGGCTCCGATGAGCCCGTCTGCGGCCTCCCGCCGGCCTCCCTGGCCGGGTCCTGCCTGGGTGCAGACGGCAGCGCGGAGCGGC